GAAACCTTCAGAATCTACGCAGAGATCCTCTGCAAGTATGAGGTGGGCATGGTCATCTGCGACGAGGGCCATCGGCTGAAGAACAGCGACAACCTCACCTACCAGGCCTTGATGGGCCTCAAGACAAAGCGGCGCGTCCTGCTCTCTGGCACGCCCATACAGAACGATCTCACGGAGTACTTCAGTTTGGTTAACTTTGTCAATCCGGAGATGCTGGGCACGGCAGCGGACTTCAAGCGTAACTTTGAGAACTGCATTCTGCGGGGACAGAACGCCGACTCCACGGACAAGGAACGAGATCGGGCCTTAGAGAAAACCCAAGAGCTGATCAAGCTTGTGGATCAGTGCATCATCCGTCGCACCAACCAAATACTCACCAAATACCTGCCCGTCAAGTTTGAGATGGTTATATGTGCCAAACTGACGCCCATACAGCTACAGCTCTATACGAATTTTCTTAAATCAGATCAAGTTCGTCGCAGTTTAGCGGGTAAAAATAGTAAGCTCTGTAGTTGTTTCACTTTAATCTCCCCACTTTCCTCATAGACTGCAAGGAGAAAGCATCTCTCACGGCTTTGGCAGACATCACAACCCTCAAGAAATTGTGCAGCCACCCAAATCTGATCTGCGAAAAGATTGCAGCAGGGGAAAAGGGCTTTGAGAACTCGCAGAATATACTGCCCATCAATTACAATCCCAAGTATGATATTGCTGGTGTTTATATGGGCTGGCTAATGACTTAGTTTTCCATTACCATTCACAGAGGAGAGATCAACCCAGAGCTGAGTGGAAAATTCAAGCTACTCGACTTTATGCTGGCCGCTATACGAGCCCATGGCAACGACAAGGTGGTCCTCATTTCAAACTATACACAGACTCTGGACCTTTTCGAGCTACTGGCACGGAAACGAAAGTATGGATTTGTGCGCCTAGACGGCACGATGTCCATCAAGAAGCGCTCGAAAGTTGTGGACAGATTCAATGACCCGGAGTCTGACTGTTTCCTCTTCATGCTGAGCAGCAAGGCGGGGGGCTGTGGATTGAATTTGATAGGAGCCAATCGCCTGTTCATGTTTGATCCGGACTGGAATCCGGCCAACGATGAGCAGGCTATGGCCAGAGTGTGGCGTGATGGCCAGAAGAAGCCCTGTTACATCTATCGTCTTGTGGCGGTAAGTTTATGAAATATGCAATTATCTAACGATTACAACTGAATGATAACTGATCAAATTCCAGAGCGGTTCCATTGAGGAGAAAATTCTGCAGAGGCAGACCCACAAGAAATCCCTGTCTAGCACGATCATTGACAACAATGAGTCTGCCGAGAAGCATTTCACGCGTGACGATCTCAAGGATTTGTTTAGTTTTGATCCAGATATCCTGTCCGATACGCACGACAAGTGAGTAGGATGAAGGAATTCTTAGTTCTTTTTAATGGCTCGATCCATTTGTGTAGGCTCAAGTGCAAGCGCTGTGTTCAGAATGTCCAAATGATGCCGCCACCGGATGACACGGACTGCACCTCGCATTTGTCACAGTGGTACCATTGCTCCAATAATCGTGGCCTGCCAGACAACATACTCGCCCAAGCCTGGACGGACAGTAAATGTGTCTCCTTTGTGTTTCATCATCGATCTCAGTCTCAGAAAATCGAAGCGACACCTGCGACGGAAACGTCAGTGGAGGCGAAGCTTGAGCCCGAACGGCGAAAGCGGCCAGCCATGCCCCTGAGCGATGACAGTGCGGATGAGGACTTTCAAGGTTTCTAGCGATTTTTTTACGTTTATTTGTTTCTCTCAATCAAACATGATTAATGTTTGCTGTAGGCTAAACTTAACCCGAAAATGTTCTCTTCCCCTCGTTCTTAACAATTAAATTATTACAATTACAATAGTTTAACATTAAAAAAGTGGAACTGCCGCAAAATTTAAACGTGCTAGGGATAAACCATCAGTCAGGAAAATGTGTGTTGTTGTTTTGTTTAAATACTGATTCTTTTACAATGCTACCAATTAAATGTACATTTTGCGAGCACAGTATTTTGGAAAACTGAATTTTATCTATAGATGGATGGTAGTCTTTTCTATCGCGAAAGGAATCATTTCTGTAAGCAACCATTGCTAGCACGTTCTCACGTATTCTCTGCCTCCTCCCTTTCGAATGGAGCAAAATACAACATAGATTAAAGCAAAGTTTAGATTAAAATCTTGTTATATAAAGTTATATACTATATAGTTGATGTATAAGTAATAAACCATTCGCAGTGCTAACACAGTCAATAGAACACGTGGTTTGTATGCCGAGAGGCTAAGGAGCCTAAACATCAATGATCTTATGCTCCAGCTCGACCCAGACATTGCTCTTCTCAGGCGGTTTCTGCAGTGGCAGTGGCGCCTGTTGTAGCTCGGCCAAAAATTGTCCTATTGCTTGGTAGTACCTGAAATTGAAAGCAATGAAACAATTAATCAAATAGAATTAGAGGATTAGATTCGCTCCAGCCGCTCCATACCCATCCACTATCCAGGTGTCGTTGTGCGAACCCCCGGGGAACTCAAGCAGACGCTTCAGCTCACTACCACATTTGGTATACAAGGCACGCATCATACGCGGTGGCACTAGGTTATCCGCAAGGCCCGATATGAACAGAAATGGAACCGAACACTTGCTGATCTTATTCAGAGAATGATACTATGTTCGAAAGGAGTAACAATTGAGAAAGGGGTGAACATTTTAAAACTAAAAAAGAGAGCTCACCTTATTCTTATAAAGTAGATTTGGTATATACTTCACAGACGGATGCACCAGCTCCACAGCCATTTCGGGTATGCTGCTGAACGTGTTCTCCACAATGGCGCACATCAGCTTCTGGCCGTAGACGGCATCGGCGGCCACATCGACGACGACGGCGCCCCCAAGAGACCGCCCAAACAGGATCAGTTGAGAGTGATCCAGATCATGGCGTGTGTGGAGATAGTCAATGGCAGACCGAGCATCTGTGACCAAGCCGCGTTCCGTGGGTACGCCAGTGGACAGGCCATAGCCCCGATATTCCACCATCAGAATATTGCAATGAAGATGGTGATAAATGCCCCAAACCTTAAATAAGAGTAGATGAACGGAAGTCTATATGAGTGCGAGAATCAACATACATTTTGCATGCGATGCCCCATGTTACCAGCATTGCCATGGAAGTAAAGCAATGTTGGCACCAATTTGCAACGCTCCTCGGGTTGGCTTATCCAAAAGGCATGCAACGTAACACCGTCGGGCGTGTTGATGCTGACTGTAATGTGTGGTAAGTTGTGCATGGTCGGGATGGGTATGTAAATGCGAGAGTTGGTAGGTAGGTCAGGATGGTACAGCAGCAGGTCTTGGGCGTAGTAGAATATCACTGCAACAAAACAACTGTTAGTGGATGATGTTCGCTTTAAATTAATTGCATATTTATACTCACACAGTAGAATAGAAGCAAACAGCAAAAAAGTCATGTAACCCCCGTAAAAGTAGTAGAATATAAAGCATAACAAGAACCCTGCGACTATTCCGACACCCACGCCTCGAGACTTGGGCAGAGCTATGCCCACTTCTTTCATATTGCGTTTTTATCCAGATATGCTACATGTCACAATGTCATGTCATAAAGAAATTAATTGATTAATTAAATACAAATTAATTAATTAATTAATGGCTAGTAACACAGCTGACTGGCACTCTAATATACATCGATATATCGATGCGTTATGCGATAGCTTATTGAAAATAGTTTTGAATTCCAGGGCTTCTATATATACATGGGCAATATAATTTGTACGATAGTTTTAAAGTCGATATTCTCGCAAAACATTTTTTTCCAATTTCCAATTATGCCTGAGGGTATTATATTCTCTTATAACATTTATGCTATATCCAGTGATTTTACCAAGCAAATTTGGTTGCAGCTGTTACACCTGTCTAGGTTCCCTATGGGCAACACCGGCTAGCTGTCGATCCCAGGGCTGAGTAGTTCCCCTTGCCCACTAATGTAAGCAAAGTTAGAGACATACGACTTCTCCCGGTACGGGAGCGGAGACTCCACCGGGACCCTTAACATTAAATGTGGAAGGTATTTTTCAAGTGAATTGTGAAGAATTTTTTTTGTATGTTTGAATTTAAGCGGCGTGGGCGATCGCTGGTCGTGGCTGGTCAGCCCTAAATCTATATATGTTCGTGTCGGCCTTAACCGGGTGAATACGTGTGTGTGTATGTTTAGCGTTCAACCTTCTGGCCCGGTTTCGGTGGCTTTATTCCGGGCCGGCCTATTTGAGTGGCCTTTTTTTTCCTGTACTCACTTCCAAATTTCGGTTTTAACCACAAAATCCGAGGGGCTCAGTCGACGTTTGCCTTGCGTCCACGCTCTTCGATTTCTATAATTCACTCCACGTTTTCAAATAATTTTCACGTTTTACATTTTCTAACGGCTCCAGCTCCCCCAGATGTCACAATACACAGACGAGCCTCCCTGGACTTGCGCTAGATGGCGCGTCGCCCTCAGCACTGGCCAACTATCGCTCAGGAGGGACTGGAACAAATAAATCATTTGCAGCTTGATCATAATCAGCAACAAATGCCTCTACAGAAGTGGAGGAAAATATCGCGATACTATAATCATTGGGCAACTAGATAGTATAGCTGTAAATTAATTTAATTGGACTTTATGCGATAAATTCTATATGATATGCATGCAACTTTGAAATCGCAATTTTGCCAGCCCTTAAAACAAAATGGCGAATTTTTGAAACTTATTCAGCAATCGGCTAAAAATATATGTTTAGTCCTGAGAGTTCTAGTAATTAGTAATATTACTAGTAAAAATAGACTGAATATAAAAACTGATCTATCAGAAAATCAAATTATCGGTATATTTCGTGATATATATATATCGATAAGTCTGTTTGCCAACCCTTAAAACAAAATGGCGTCAGAAAGAAAGACGAAGACGACGTGATATTTTGTGTGTTGAAAAAACTGCATTTAAGAACAAGTGGCTTGTTTCAAGGACCACATAAACATTTGCCCAGCTAACGTATGAAAGTGTATTGCATGTATTTAATGAGCTCTACACGGCAACTCTGTGTGCTACCACAAAAATATAATGAGCCAGGTAAGTAGGCCTTGAAAAAGTAGTGACAGTGAACGTCGGTGTGTGTTTGAAAAGTGGGAAATAAAAATATGGATTTGGTATGTTATTCTCAGCAAGGCGGTTTAAATCAGTGTCAATCCGGTCGCCTAGTGAGTATTAACAAAAACAAAAGCGATATTTTTGAAATATATGCTCCGTGCTGTGGGTGTGGCTACACGCCTAGCCTGGGAGACAGCCCCCGTGGGAGCCCCTCGTTCCGAGACACCCTCACTTTGCTGGCGATTTGTGTAGCTGCAAGTGGGGCATTTGTCTAAAATGCAGTTTTTAACCATTATACCGATAATGTTTCACAGTTTTGACAATGCCAAACTATCCTCGGGGCCTTGACGTGGCAGTGAGAGTGGAATTTAAGCGAATCCATTGGGTACCCATTTTCGCAAATTTTGTTTAAATTTGACCATTTCGGTTTGTTTTCGTCGAATCCAGCTATGAAAATCCTTCAAAATGTGTGCATTTTATTGTTTTTCGCTGTAAATTGAAAATTTTCATCGATTACGTAATCAAAAATTCTTGGGTGCAAAGTTTTCCCAACTGGATTGCCGACCATATTCCTTGGGTTTTTAGCCCGCCAAATAGTTGCCGGTAAACAAAATCCTCGCACTTTCCTCAAATTCGATCGAAAAATTGATTGTAAACGCTTTTTACTGGAATAAAACCCATTTGTCGGTCATTTTGGAGGTTTCTTTTGGGAAAGATCGCGCCAGGAGACCCAAAACCCGTTAGTTTTACAAGGATTTCCGCGTTCTTCCTCCCAGGATTATTTTGTGTTGGTGACTCGCGTTTTTGCTGTGAAGTACTCTCAAGATTTCTCCTTAAGCCTTCAAGGAACCCTCACTGTTTGTTGCTATTTTTACTGCATTTCTTTCAATTCGCCCGTCTGGGCATTCTGAAGATTTCTGGACAGGATTAGCCCTATTAAAGCAAGTAGAATGCCTTATACCCGTCCTGTGTTCACACGGTTTCGGCTAGATTTAGGCTATATCTAGCTGAATAAACAATAATTTTTAAGAACTGTATGCAGTTTTGACACTTATTTGCCATTCCAAGCTTGGGGCCAAGATCTGGAGAGGATTTGATGGTCAGAAGAGCGCAAGTTGGACTTTGAACTGTAGCTGGAGAGCTGGCTACGGACTAGAAGTGGAGTCTGATGCGCAGCTTGCGAACTTCTAATTGATTAATGTGCAATTTTTAAAGAAATTCAACTGGCCAGAGCAGTTCTGGGCAGGATTAGCGGTGGTAATCACTTCCTAGTCTGCAGTTCCTTAAGGCTTCGCTTGAATGTTATCTGAATGTGTCGTGTCGGTTGATTTTTAAATTATTTTGGGCTCTGTTCCTGCTTGTCTTTAGGCACTCAATGAATCGGCGAATAGTATTGGCTCAGACGAACAAGATGACCCCCGTGATGAGGCAAACGGCACGGATAACAGTGGCAGTGGCAGCGGCAGTGGCTCCTCCGGATCCGACTCTGATTCGGATAGTTCGTCGGGAAATTCCAGCGATGGACGAAGCTCTCCGGAGCCGAATGTCAAACCATCAAGCACATCGGTGGCGGGTTTTCCACCAACAGCAGCAGCTGCACAGGCGGACAGTAAAACGAATGGCTTCACAGATGATCAGGAGGAGAGTTCCAGTGGCGGATCAAGTGGCAGCGACTCCGATTCGGAGCCGGAGGAAACCAGAACAGGAGCAGACCATACAGCAACAGGCGGCAAGCTCAGCGCGAACACGAGCACGAGCACCACCAACAGCAGCAGCAGTTCATCAAAGCAGCAGCAGGACGAGGAGGAAGACGAAGATGACGACGACGATGACGACAAAGAGACTGAAACTGTACAGCAACAGAAGGAGCAAGAGCAGGCGGCTGACAGTGAAGCCTCCGCCGATGATGATGCCAGTGATAGTTCTCCAAATGCATCGCCCACATCCTCAAGCAGCAGCAGCGTAAGTCGGGGCTCGAACACACGGAATGTTCCTTCTGCAGTTTCTTGAATATTTCTTTTGGGCTTAATCCGCACAGGAGGATGAGGAGGAGGACTATAGACCCAAACGAACGCGCCAGGCGCGCAAGCCCCCAACCGCCGCACCCGATAAATCGAAGCGAGCGCCGCCACACAAGAAGAAAAAGAAAACGTACGATTTTTCCTGGATTCGGGCTCTATTTTGGGAGCCCTTTTTGTAATACTTTTGTTTGTCCTTTTAGCTGGGACTCGGACGAAAGCGATGAGAGTGACGAGAGCGATGAAGAGTCATCCGCCCCTAAGCGCAAGCAGGCGCCAGCCACTACCTCTAGGAATAAACCAGTGCCACAGCAGCAACAGCGACGTCGGGTGAAGTCCTTTAGCTCCGATGACAGCGACGATGATGATGCCAGCAAGCGGTACAATAATTGGCAGTTGCATTCTTTGCAACATTGATTAAATGCTTCCTTCTTTTGTGCAGCTGCGCCACGCGTAGGACTGGAGCCGCGGTAAGCTACAAGGAGGCATCTGAAGATGAGGCCACGGACTCGGAGGATCTGCTGGAGTGCGAATACGACGAGATCCAGGCGGCGGCATCGGCGGCCGCTGCCGTGGAGGACGAGAAATGTGAGACCATCGAGCGAATCCTGGCACAGCGGATGGGCAGGAGGGGCTGTACGGGCAATAAGACCACGATATATGCCATCGAAGATCCCCATGCGAAAGTGGAAGAGGTGGAAAAGGTGGCAGAGGCGGAGGAAGATTTACCAAAGGAGGAGGAGGAGCAATATCTGATCAAGTGGAAGGGCTGGTCGTATATCCACAACACATGGGAGTCGGAGCGTACGCTGCGCGACATGAAGGCCAAGGGCATGAAGAAGTTGGACAACTTCATCAAGAAGGAACAGGAGACTGCCTACTGGCGCCGCTATGCGGGCCCCGAAGACATCGACTACTTTGAGTGCCAGCAGGAGCTGCAGCACGAGCTGCTGAAGTCTTACAACAACGTGGACAGGATCATTGCGAAGGGATCCAAGCCAGATGTCGGTACCGATGAGTTCCTATGCAAATGGCAATCGTTGCCCTATGCCGAGGCTACCTGGGAGGATGCCACGCTGGTGCTGCGCAAGTGGCAGCGCTGTGCCGAGCAGTTCCATGACAGGGAGTCTTCCAAGTGCACACCCTCGCGTCACTGCCGTGTCCTCAAGTATCGCCCCAAATTCTCGCGCATCAAGAATCAGCCCGACTACCTGGTGGCGGGTTTGGTGCTCAGGGACTATCAGATGGACGGCCTCAACTGGCTGCTGCACTCGTGGTGCAAAGAGAACTCTGTCATTCTGGCCGATGAGATGGGCTTGGGCAAGACAATACAGACGATATGCTTCCTCTACTCCCTGTTCAAGGTGCACCACCTGTACGGGCCCTTCCTCTGTGTGGTACCGCTTAGCACGATGACTGCCTGGCAGCGGGAGTTCGACCTGTGGGCGCCGGACATGAACGTGGTCACCTATCTGGGGGACATCAAGTCGCGCGAGATGATCCAGCAGTACGAATGGCAATTCGAGGGCTCCAAAAGACTGAAATTCAACTGCATCCTGACCACATATGAGATTGTCCTTAAGGACAAGCAGTTTCTGGGCACCCTGCAGTGGGCAGCGTTGCTGGTGGATGAGGCGCATCGCCTCAAGAACGACGACTCGCTGCTGTATAAGTCGCTCAAGGAATTCGACACAAATCATCGACTGCTGATCACGGGCACGCCCCTGCAGAACTCCCTGAAGGAGCTGTGGGCCCTGCTGCACTTCATAATGCCCGAGAAGTTCGACACGTGGGACAACTTTGAGCTGCAGCACGGCAATGCCGAGGACAAGGGCTACACCCGACTGCACCAGCAGCTGGAGCCGTATATCCTGAGGCGGGTGAAGAAGGATGTGGAAAAGTCGCTGCCAGCCAAAGTGGAACAGATTCTGAGGGTCGAGATGACCTCGTTGCAGAAGCAATACTACAAATGGATTCTGACCAAGAACTTTGATGCGTTGCGGAAGGGCAAGAAGGGCTCCACGTCCACCTTCCTGAACATAGTCATTGAGCTAAAGAAGTGCTGCAATCACGCGGCCTTGATCAGGCCCTCGGAATTTGAGCTGATGGGCCTGCAGCAGGACGAGGCTCTGCAGACGCTGCTCAAAGGCTCGGGCAAGCTGGTTTTGTTGGACAAGCTGCTCTGCCGACTGAAGGAGACGGGCCATCGGGTACTCATATTCTCGCAGATGGTTCGAATGCTGGACGTCCTGGCCGACTACCTCCAGAAGCGACACTTTCCCTTTCAGCGCCTTGATGGCAGCATCAAGGGGGAGATGCGTCGCCAGGCGCTCGACCATTTCAATGCCGAGGGCAGCCAAGACTTTTGCTTTCTGCTATCCACCAGGGCCGGTGGCCTGGGCATTAATCTGGCCACAGCCGACACAGTCATAATTTTCGACTCGGACTGGAATCCCCAAAACGATCTGCAAGCCCAGGCACGAGCCCATCGCATTGGCCAAAAAAATCAAGTGAATATATATCGCCTGGTCACGGCCAGATCCGTTGAGGAGCAGATTGTGGAGAGGGCCAAGCAGAAGATGGTCTTGGACCACCTAGTCATCCAGCGGATGGACACCACGGGTCGCACGGTGCTGGATAAAAGTGGCAACGGCCACTCCTCGAACTCCAATCCGTTCAACAAGGATGATCTCTCCGCCATACTGAAGTTTGGCGCCGAGGAGCTGTTCAAGGACGAGCCGGAGCACGACGAACATGAACTGGTCTGCGACATTGATGAGATCCTGCGGCGGGCTGAGACCCGGAACGATGATCCGGAGATGCCGGGCGATGATCTTCTGTCCGCCTTCAAGGTGGCTAGCATAGCGGCCTTCGAGGAGGAGCCGAGTGAATCGAACAAACAAGATGTGGACGCCGGCGACGATGCGGAGGACGACAGCAAGGACTGGGATGACATTATTCCCGAGGGCTTTCGCAAGGTCATCGAGGATCAGGAGAAGGCCAAAGAAATTGAGGATCTCTATCTACCGCCTAGAAGAAAGACGGCGGCGGCCAATCAAAGCGAGTCCAAGCGTGGAGCCGGCGGCAAGGCCGGGCGGTCCAAGCAGGCGGACGACTCTGGCGACTCCGAGTACGAGCTGGGCTCCGATGCCAGTGGGGATGAGGGTCGTCCCCGCAAGCGTGGACGTCCCACAATGAAGGAGAAAATCACTGGCTTCACCGATGCTGAGCTGCGTCGCTTCATTCGCAGCTACAAGAAGTTTCCCGCCCCCCTACACCGCCTGGAGGCCATTGCGTGCGATGCAGAGCTGCAGGAGAAGCCCCTGACAGAGCTGAAGAGACTCGGCGAAATGCTGCACGACCGGTGCGTCCAGTTCCTAGACGAGCATAAGGAGGAAGAAATTAAGACTGTGCAGGACGACACGCCGGGGGCAAAGCAGCGGCGCGCACGGGCCACCTACTCTGTGAAGCTCGGGGGCGTCTCCTTCAATGCCAAGAAACTGCTGACATCTGAGCAAGAGCTGCAGCCCCTTAGCGAGATCATACCCAGTGGGGCGGCGGAGAGGCAGCAGTGGACATTCAACATCAAGACGCGGGCGCCAGTTTTCGATGTGGAATGGGGCAACGAGGAGGACACCAAACTGCTGTGCGGCATTTATCAGTATGGGATCGGGTCGTGGGAGCAAATGAAGCTGGATCCCACCCTGAAACTTACCGACAAGATCCTGCTGAACGACACCCGCAAGCCGCAGGCCAAGCAACTTCAGACCCGAGCCGAGTACTTGCTCAAGATCATCAAGAAGAATGTGGAGCTGACGAAGAAGGGCGGTCAGAAGCGCCAACGACGGCCCAGAGCTGCACGAATCAACGCAGAGTCAAAGGCCGGCAACAACTCCAACAACCATTGCGCCACATCTGGCGCTATGGCCGAGAGCAAGGCGTTGGGCGAGGCCGAGGAAACTGTTGACGGGGGTCGGGGGGCACTGGATAATAGTTCCAGCCACTTGGATCCCTCCTCCACAGCTTCGCCGCACCTGACTCCAGCCTCTGAAGTGAGCGGCGGCGGCACTGCCCAAAGGACTAAAAAGTCTAAGGCCAGGTCGAAGAAAACTAGCGCCTCGGACAATAATGGCAACAAGCCCATGCACTTTACGGCCAATAACGAGCCGCGGGCCTTGGAGGTCCTGGGCGATTTAGATCCCAGCATTTTCAACGAATGCAAGGAGAAGATGCGTCCAGTCAAGAAGGCCTTAAAAGCCCTGGATCAACCCGATTTGAGTCTGTCCGATCAGGATCAGCTGCAACACACGAGGGACTGCCTGCTACAGATCGGAAGGCAGATTGATGTGTGTCTGCAGCCTTATGGCGAGTCGGAGAAGAAGGAGTGGCGCAGCAATCTGTGGTACTTTGTGTCCAAGTTCACGGAGCTGGATGCCAAGCATCTGTTCAAGATCTACAAGCATGCCCTCAAGCAACAGCTCAGTCGGGAGTCGGGTGGCAAGGGAAAGAGCAGGGCTGGCTCCAAGGAGGATTCGGTCAGTCCCAGCAAGATCCGACGCAATGGTCTTCCAGCGGAAAAGGACAAAGACAGGGAGCGGGACAAGAGCGGCAAGAAGAAGCGGAAAGACAAGGACAAGGAACGTGCGGGCCAGTCGCGTTACTCGGATGGCGGTACCCCGTCTTCGGGTCGCTTTGTCAACGACTCACCACTCAAAAGAAAGCGGGATGAGAACGATGTGGACGGCGGTAGCAGTGCGGGCGGCATCGTGGCCATTGTTGGCGGCGGCATCAGCGACCATCTCAAGTCAATGTCCTTCAAGCGTCTAAACATGGAGCGTCACGAGGAGCGTAAGAAGCATCACCGCAGCAGCGAATACTATGGCAGCAGTGGAGCTGCTCCGACGGGCAGCTGCTACGAAGGCAGCAGCAGTGCTCGCAGAGCGGGCCTGAACTCTCCATCCACGCCGAACAGCCGCAGTGCTCGTAGTGGAGGTGGTTACGAGGCACTGCCTGCTCCGTCGGGCTATACGCCGGAACTGGAGCGTTGGCACGCCAGAGAACGGTAACGCCCACATAGCGGAAAAGAAACTTCAATTTGAGAGTTTTTCTAACTGAAATGTCCCCCCTATTGCAGGTATAGCTTGGAGTATAAGCGCGATCGCTATGAAGTCGGTTATCCTCGCAGCGGCGGACCTCCCGGGGGCTACCATCGGGATCACCGCGAACGTGATCGCGACCGTCGGCCCGATAAGCGAAGGTATGCCACGCCTAACCCCACTAGCCTTGCACGGACCATACGGACTTAAATTTTATTCGCTTATCTTTGCAGATATCCTCCTCACCTGCCGCCGCACGCCTACCCGAGTCACTATCTGCCGACCAATTATTATATGCCGAATGGGATCGTGCCCGCTTTACCTCACCCGCCAGGATACCGCAGCGATCCGCGTGGGTATCCCATGATGCCACGCGACTATCCTGCCGATTATCGACGCAGCGACTACGAGCGACGTACGCAGACGTGAAAAGCGCCAAAGCGGCGTCCACTGTACATAAAACTAAAACTACGAGTAGATTTAAGCAATTGTGGACACAACACAAACCAATCATATAAGAAAAAGCCTGAATACAAGACAGGCACAGGTAGCATACGGTAGCGTACGGATATGTAAGAGTAATGCCTATCTATCAGTTTATCTATTTAGTTTATATATAACCAACCGAACCTATCGTCACATCTGATCGCACAGTGCATCATCCACATTGTCATGTCATTCATGGGGCAGTACCAATAATTCTGTGTAATCATAGGCTTTAATTGTATTATATTTTATTTTATTAATTGTATTTCTATATTATTCTACTGTGTACAGCTGATAATGAAAGCTTGCTTTAAAGTCCGCTGTGGTATGGTGTGGTGTGCGCCCTTTAAGCAACAAACCAAGTCTTTTGAAAGCTTTTAAACAACAAATAACTAATTCTCACTATATTTATATACACATATATATGTACTATAAACAAAAGCAATTTGACAGGAAGCGTTGAAGGAATCACGATCGTTAAGTTTTAAGTGAAGTAAGAAAAAAATAAGGATTTGTTTTATGTCTATAATGCATTGCACCTTTTATATACAATACCATATAGAGATACTGATTGAATAATTGAATGAGACGGAAAATGTAATTTAGTTAACTTTAAAGCTATTAATATTAATAATGTATTAATACACAAATTACGTTGTAGTTGTCTGAGAAATCGATTATCATGTACATCAATAAATTATAAACTATATACATAACCATATACAATTCACTGACTTGCTAAACCGATGTTCAAACCAAAGCATTTATTCCCATTTTTATCCATATATACAAACATACGTACTGATCGATATTTTCCGCACAAAAGAACATGCAAGAAGCTAGATGATTGAAGTCCCTAGCGGTAGTAAAGTTAAAAAATGGTGCTCTCGCGGAAAACAGAAAGAGAAAAGCTGTTGCCGAGAAACCTTCCGTTTTCGATGACGCACCAAATGCAGAGAAAGTCGAAGTGAGATCGTCTCGAAATGTTCCGATTTAAACGAGAGTATTAATGGATTATCTCAACGTAGGAGACCAGCTTAGGCTCTCTTCTCCGGACATGTGTATGGAAGATATGTTTAAAGCATACGCATGCAATTTGTACAAACTTATGGATGAATCCTTCACGAAACGTACTAAAGGCGAAGATCTCAAACAACTGTTGCTGATCGCTGGCAAGGATCCGGTAAGCAATTTGAATGGCGAGCAGTATCTGTGTCTCATGGGGAGACATTGCACGTATCTTCGGACGCAACTCTGGATTTTCAACTGTATAGCAGGTATTGCAGAGGATTGCATGCTCTTGATCAACTGGAATCTTTGGAATTGGGTGACTGTGATGGATTCGATGCCAAAAGCTTGGCGGATTTCTGCCAAACGATGAATCAATAATCAATCAATACTTTAATATTGAAACATCAGTAAGAGCCATTTTGAAATTCTGGTGGCTGGATCGTCTGACCTTCAATTTCTACCGCTTTGTTCGTTTGTTAAAATATAAATTCAAATCCAAACGGATAGTGTGACCCTACACAGCGACCGAATTGGGAGCACATTGTGCATACGATGCAACTCTGCGTAAAACAGCTGTGAGCAGCCGACTGACCTGACCCACGAAACCTAAATTAAATCCAATCCAATCTTTCTATTTCCTACGATGGACGCTGAACTTGAGGGATCGGAATTGGGAACCAAAGATTATTGGGAATCAAGCTATACGCGTGAAATTGGAAACTATAAAAGCCACGGAGACGTGGGTGAGATATGGTTTGACGAGGATTCGCAGCAACGTGTTGTCGTCTGGCTTCTAAAGCAAGAGCAGATCGACAAGCAAACTGCACGTGTGCTGGATTTGGGTTGCGGCAATGGGATGTTTCTCGTGGCCCTGGCAAACGAAGGTTACGCCCAACTAACGGGTGTTGACTATTCGCCAAAGGCAATCGAGTTGGCCAGAAGTATTGCCCAGGACCATGATCTGAACATCAGCTATAGTGTGGCGGACTTGACTCTACCACAGACGGACTTAGGAAAATACAATGTTGTGCATGACAAAGGCACCTATGATGCCGTGAGCCTCTGTCCCGACAACTCCAAGGAGAAACGCTCACTATATCTTGCGACAGTGGAGAACTTGCTGCATGACAGCGACAGTCTATTTATTATTACATCTTGCAATTGGACAGAGGACGAGTTGGTTCTGAGCTTTGCTGACAAATTTATTAAATACCACACTATTCCAACTCCGACATTTAAATTTGGTGGCAAGGTAGGCAGTGTAGTAACATCTGCAGTATTTAAGAAACGCTAAAACTGTATGCTTCGCACATTTATACTCCATCAAATCGCATAGAATTTCTGCCCCCTTATCAATGATCCATAGATTATAGCCAGTGGTGCAGCAGTAAAGTAAATCGCTATTATTGTTTGTTGTTTGCACTGCCCACTGTACCACATTGCCAGCACATAGCTCCCGCACTGCAGCGCCTTTTTTTGATCTTCCCTTCTCAGTAGCTCAACATATACTTTGATTATATTAAGTAAGAACTCGCAAATTCTGAATCCACAGCTACATATTAATAATTAATTTCATCAATCCCATTAAAATATATGTATAAAAAATTAAAAAATTTGTTTTTCTACAAATATACATGCCATGCCTTATACAATATTCAAACCCATAGATGCTATTATTTACGTCGATCGGGTGAGCCAAGTGGAATGATTTGGCTGAATGGAATAGCTTGCTCCTCAGCAAAGGCTCTGAAATCCATGCCGTAATGTTGGATAAGCGCAGTGACCATGGCCACATCCGCCTCCGCTTGGTGGGCAGTAGTTGGTGGCTGATTGAATTTTCTTTCATACAGTGATCCCAAATTGTACTTGCCCCTTGGTGGCCAACGTTTTTTTTTGGCACACTGCAGGCCGCTAAATAGTTGACGACGAGAACTCAGTGTTCGCTTAACTGGTGACGACGCCTCCAATTCATCATCCTCGCTCTCTGAAATTTGTCTACGCTTTGACGCAGCTTCTGTGGGGGTCAGAATTGGGCGTTTTGGGGTGGTTTCATTTAACATCCGCCAGTCAGGTTCCTTAATGGGTTCAGCTTCCTCCGCTTCTTCCACTTTCACGGACAAGCTTTGGGGCAATTTCATAAGACCATCTTCTTGGGACTGCTTGTCATCAATCTCCAAAAAGGCACGAAGTGAGTCAACGCAAGACAAAGTAGGGGAAAATTCCAGATTTAATTTAGCAAACACTTTCCTTACAATAGGAAAATCAAAATGCCAGCCATTGTGAGCCACTAAACAAACCGGAGATGGCAAATGCTTCAAAAAGTTAAGGATCATTTGAGCAGAGTTCTCGTCTAACTTCGATTCGCGTTCCAGTATGTAGTTATTGAGCCCTGCAATATGAGATGATACGGTGAATCATCACTGCAATAGGACGCACTTGTGAAATGACAAACCTGTAAATCTTTCTGCGTCCGGATGCACCATCATAGACGGCTGAAATAGTACATTCAACTTATGCACTACGCGGGGTAGTGGGGGTACAGGCACCTTATTTTCCCCGGATCCTTTCGTACCATTTTGCTTCAGGAGAGCTGCTTCAAATGCATAAATACACAGCTCCGTGATGCCCACTCGATTGTTGTTGTTCGCAGGTAAATTGGTAGTCTCCAAATCCAGTACAGCGAATGTGGAAATTTTATGCTGATCTTCGTACTGCTCCCCATCATTGGAATTGCTCGGCGCCATCGTAAGTACGACTCGATGACGCCAACGTCAATTTAATCTTTCTTTCAATTTTTTTCTTTGTTTCAGAAATGGTGTGACCAGGTCTGTAGTTTAAGAATAAACTAAATTTTGTAAACGGCGATTTGAAAACGAGTCAAATTTAAATTGTTTAAATTGACGCGCTTTATGTTTTTTTTTAACTTTGAGATTTTAAATATGGCAGACATTGAAAGTTTTAGCAAAGAAAACTGATTTAAGAGCTTTTTAAGCGATCCGTTAATTTGTATATAATTCAAAATTACTTTGACTAATTTTTCACAAATTATACTCCTAATATATGTATGTATAATATCAACGATTCATCTGAACTAATGTGTAAACAAATATCGCAATACTGAGTAGTTCAATGGTAGATAACCAAAAAATTTGTTGCGCACTCCGGCGCTGGAATTGGCAACATTTCACCGATCTGAGTCAGATCTCGACTACTCGAGGGGCCAGTTGGTTGTATCTGTATACTCTGTGCAAAATGTGTTGTATTGCTTTATTATTTCTATTGGGTCTTTTCTCGCATATATCGCTGGCTAAAAGTTTGGTGAGTATATCAACGTAAGAGATGTGATAGAGAGCGAAAATATCCAATTAACATATTCACAGATGGAAACAGATCCTGGCTGCACCGACGTCTGCCTAAAATCCTTAAAATCAGTCTTGGATCAGCAGCTTATGATGCAACTGCAGATGAAAAACATTGAAAATAATTTAAGGACCCAACAGAATTGGGTTGAAAATCTAATGAATCATGAAGACAAACTGGAGGACAGACAAAAACTAGAGGCAATCGAATCCAGACTAAAAATAAATGAGGATATCTCATCGACGCAATTGGAAAGATTGGACAGTGTAGAACATAAATTACTTGAACGTCAAAGAATGGATGATTCGGGACAGAAAGGGCTGTTGGAAATGATCGAAAAAGAAAAACAACACTTGTCAGACCAGCAGGAAAAAAACGATTCCGAAATAGGCAGATGTAGCGAAAGACTGAGTGGACTAGAGAAACAGATCATAGAGCAGCACGAGAGGGCTGCTTTGTGCGAAAGCTCATCTACCGAGAGACTTGAAAAATTAGAAGACAAACAGCGACAGCTGGCTTTGGGTGCACAGCAGATGCTTGAGAGACTGGGCCAAATAGAAAAGCAGATCGCAGTCGAACATGCGAAGGGGCAACTCGAAAGGCTAGAGCAAGAGTTGACGCGACGAGGCAAAAACGCTTCTTATTTAGACAAATATCGGGATAGACTAACTGTAATGGAGAAAGAGTTCTTAGGGCAAGCAGCAACGGGTTCTTCTAACGAAACCTCAGTTACGAAGAAGTTCGACAACTTAGAACAACAATTGTCTGTCCAGCAATCGAAACATATATCTGAAGACGCCGCGACAAGGGAGAGAATAGACAAATTAGAGAAAGACTTTACATACAAACAGCAAAAGATCGAGTCGGAGGCAAGTATGTCGGCAAAGGTGCTGAACGGGGTAAAGAATCAATTAACAGACCATCAAACGATGCTTGAAAATGAGGCAAAGAAACTGTCGGACTCACAGATAAAACTGTCCAAGCTCCAGGATCAATTGACGAATCAACAGAAAAAAGTTTCTAACCACGAGACAGCCATTAAGGAGTCGGAGTCCAAACTAAAAACACTGTGGAAGAACAGATTCGTCACGGTTCAGAAAAATGGCTATGAAGGCAGTAAGCTGATAGATGTGGTAAACGGGCTCAAAAATCAGTTTGCAGGCCATCAAACGAAACTTGAAAATGATGACAAAAAACTGTTGGACTCACAGGCAAAACTGTCCAAGCTCCAGGATCAATTTAAGAATCAACAGAACAAAATGTCTGCCCACGAGGCAGCTATTAAGGAGTCCGAGTCAAAAATAAAAACACTGTGGAAGAACCGGCTCGTAATGTTTCAGAAACTCGGCTCAAAATATTATTATTTCGAGAGGACTGAAAAACTAAACTGGACAGATGCTCGGGATAGATGTCAAGAGCTGGGCAGCCACCTGGCTAGCCTGCAAGATCAGCAGGAGTTCGATATAGTGACAAAAGATTTATACGACGTTTTCTACTACTGGGTGGATGTCAATGATATTGAAACAGAAGGTGTGTATATGTCTAGTACTACTGGGAAGAAGGCAAATTTCTTGAAATGGAGACAAACCCCAGATGACTGGAACGACAAGGAAGATTGCGTAGAGCTGGCCTATGAGAGTAAGGCAAATGCAATGGGCATGAACGATATACATTGTTCAGAAAAACACATGTACATATGTGAAAAGTAGTCGGATGGGAGAGGGAGGTGGTAAAATTGCTTTACCTTAGCTCTAAGTGTACCAAATGTTTTCACTTTTCACTTAAGAGCGCCTAACGAAGCTCAAATAAGAAATCATCAAAAAAGTAGTTGTTTCTTTCTTTTTAATTTTATTACCACGAGAACGATTGTTAATAGACTTGTAACATTTAGATACAGATAAGCTGTAAAAACAAAGAAATCCACTCGTAAAACGTTTTTTGTGCTGGTTAATACTTGAAGGATTTAAAATCCTTTCGTGTCAGGAGCTACAAGAAATAAAAGAGTATGTTGGTGGTTTCATGGCACACGGATGTCACGAGAGAGGTTGATTTAATGATCGCCCCCAGACTTGGCATCTTCCGATTTGGAATCTCCCTGGGCACGTTTGAACGAATAATGCATGTAGTCACTGCGCGTGGCTGCCTCGTACTCCTGCACGAGGCTATCAACTGTCTCACGGGACTCATCCAGCTCGTTGAGATCATCTTTGAAGATGTCTTCGCGTCGGAATTGATCTAGAAAAGCGCCTCGTTTACGTAGCTTGTCATATTGGTTCAGGGCCCGCTCAAATAGCGAATTGATGCTAGTATGGTTGGCCAACATCAGGCCAGACACACGATGGTTGCTTTGAACGTAGGGCGAAGAGCGGGACAGGGCCACCTGGATTGAGGTTGGTCCCCAGGGTATAAACTGGGCCATCTTTCGATCACGAATGCGCTGCAGCGACTTGTGCACTTGGCTAGGATCCACCTCGCCCTGGATGATGTTAAGTATAGATATGTAGCAATGATGGTTTGTCTTGTCAGGGCCAGTGGACACCATCATGTTCTTAGGCTGTAGCAGACGACGCATTACATCTAAGACGGTCGTTTTGCGAATGTTGACCGTTTGCTGATTGTTCACATCCGAGGCGCTGGTCAGAGGCGTGTACCCCGTCATCAGAAAATGCAACTGGGGTGTGGGTATCAAGGACGCCATAAGCCCGATGAGATTGTTGTTCATATACGACGGGTACCGCAACGTGGTTGTGCTTACGCTCATAATGGTTGACACTAGATTGTTGATTTGCGAGAAACTGGGATTCTGGATATGCAAACGATCGCAAGCTATGCGATTGAGGGCTGTATTGTCCAGGACGACCACACTGTCCGCAGCACTGGTTAGACGTCTCAGTGTCAGCAATGAATTGTACGGCTGAACAACAACATCGCTTATCTCATCCTGATTGGGAAACACACTGAACGTCTGTATGAGCTTCTTGGGATAACGATCTGCCAGCCGTTCCATGATAAAGGACCCCATGCCAGAGCCAGTACCACCTGCAATGGAATGACAGAGTATGAATCCTTCAAGGGAATCACTACCGTCGGCTTCTCTGTCGATTATGTCAAATATTTCCTCTTGCAACTTTTCACCCTGACTATAGCCAGACGCCCAATTATTGCCAGCCCCGCCACCATGCTTCGATAAATACACGTTCTCTGGATTGTAGAGCTGCGGGAAATGAACTCATTTAGCTTTTGAATTTGTAATCTATTTAATCCATATTTTACCTTTGCATATGAAGAGCCCATTATTGTATTGATCACCCTGGGCTCCAGGTCAAGAAGCACCGCACGCGGTATGTAGTGGTCGTCATCAGCCTGATAGAAGAATACATCTTTGCGGTCCATGCCTTCGGTAGCGAAGTCCTCTAGAACGCCGCTTGGCGAAATCCCATGTTCCATGCACAAACGTTTCCAAAACTCGAACCCAACTGCCCGATGAGTTTATTTAATTGGCATGTACACAACTATGCGTAATTGATACTCACTTTGATTGCCGCATTGGCCCAGCTGCAAAGTAATTATTTCGCTTGGCATTTTTATATGCAAACGTAAGGCCAAAGCCGCTGTATCCTTCCTTCTATAAAGTGTCCGGCTGTATCCACGCCAAGCCTAAGTTATGTGGCCGTATAGGAAATTTGTTGCCCTGGCAATTGAACTACAGCATGCACAAACGCACAAGTAAGGACATTGAGACAATTATTTAAACAATTCGCACAGCCGCGGTGCCAGAGAAAATATTTTTTAGTAAGTAGTGTTGGGTAACGATAGTGTAAGGGTTAAGGTGACGAAATCGCGCGGGTCGGTTAATATAATACGGGTTTCAGATAACTGATGGCCTTAAAGCAACCTTTACACCGAAATGCTTATATTGATTTTAAGTCAAATAATTGCTCTTGAGAAAATTTTGTGGAGTTCAATATAATGAATTAACTATATTTCTCCATTCTGCAGAACTGCGAATCTCACATTTGTGACCTCACACAGTTCACCCTGTGTCACCTCACATTCATATTCGTCAGTATATTACGGTATATTTTGAAACTGATACGGTATATTTATGAGGGTCTGACCGTATATTCTATTGCCGGCTTCTTGCAGAATAGTGGCGTCGTTGCCCGCGCAGAGTTTTTTGTGTCCGCACACAATCAAGAAATAAATTTTTTTCCTTAAAAATCGACCATAAATATTCATAATATAATAAAATGCCCCGCTCCAAGGCCACAAAAAAACCAGTAGAGGAAGCGCTAGAGCTCCCTGATGCTACAACAAATGGAAGTGTCGTTAAAGAAAAAGCCGGTACTACAGATGCTGATGCCAAAGTTCTGACGAAGGGGAAGCCACGCGCAAAAAAAACATCGAAGAAAACTGCAGCCGAAAACCCAGAGCCAGACCACGATGAAAACTCGCAGCAGTACAAGGAGGAAGAGGAGAACGCCGAAAAAGTGCCAAAGGCTTCGAAAGGGCGTCCTCCGAAGAATGCAAATGAAGAACCGGCCCCAAAATCTAGCGGAGCAGTCAGTTCTCGGGCCAAAAAGGAAAAACAGCCTGCTGCTGAAAAATTGGAAGAACCAGCAACGTCCAAGGGACGTGCCAAGAGAGGAAAAGCGGCAGCTGTCGAGGAATCGGCTCCGAAGGAAACAAAAGCCCGGGGACGTAAGAGGAAGGACCCTTCAGAAGACGCTAATGCGGTGGTAGAAGAAGCAGAACCGCCAAAACAACGAGCAAAAAAAGAACAACCACCCTTGATCGCACCAGAGCCAGCGCAGAAGGGAAAGGAAAATAAAGCTGAGACACAAGCCAAACGGCCCCGAGTTAACAAGCGTCTGGCAGATTCGGAAATAGCCGAGGTTCTTGAGGAAGAAGAATTGGCTCCAGAGCCGCCAAAGGCTACTAATAAGCGAACTAAGAAAGCGAAAGCTGGTGAAAACGGTGTCCGAGCTGAGCCTGTGCCAGTAGGGGACTCGAAGACTTCTGAGCTCACGGAGGAAGCAACAGCAGATGCTGTCCCCACGAAGGCCACCAACAAGCGAACTAAAAAATCAAAAGAAACCGAACCTGTGCTGCCATCTGAGCCTATGCAGGCAGCAAAGCCAACTAAGCAGAGAGCCAAAAGGGAAGTCAGGGAGGAACCCGAACCAGCAACCAGCAAAAAACGGGCTCAGAAGGCCACCGCTAAAAAGGAGAACGAGGAGTTAGCAGAGCCTGCAGAAAGCAAGCCAGGTTGGCGGGAATGAAATATAATACATAATTGCACACATTTCTAACCAGATTTAACTATTTTCCAGTTCGCGGTCGGAAAAAAGCCGCCACCGCCACCAAATCTGAAGCTGCTGAAGATGATGCGGTTGATGGGTCGAAAAGTATGTTGGTGGAGCCCACCGGGTGCGGTGCCGGTGCAGTATTGAAAAGCTTGCACAACGTGCTCAACTTTTGTTTTCCAGCATCCAAGACCAAAAAAGTGGAGAAGGCAGGAGAAGCCAAAGTAAACTTGGATAAAGCTGACTTTGCCCTGCCAGCCGAAAAGGTATTCAATTTTAAAATCTCTAGCTGGAACGTAGCTGGGCTAAGGGCATGGCTCAAGAAGGACGGTCTTCAGAGTTTGGCTCTCGAGGAGCCAGACATATTTTGTCTGCAAGTAAGTCCGCACCGAACGCCTTTAGCAGGACATTATTAATCACATCACCATTTTTGTTGAAGGAAACAAAGTGCTCAAATGATCAACTGCCCGAAGAACTGACACACGTGCCGGGCTATCATCCGTACTGGTTGTGCATGCCAGGTGGCTATGCTGGGGTGGCCATATACAGCAAAATTATGCCCATTAATGTCGAGTACGGCATTGGAAACGAGGAGTTTGATGATGTGGGACGCATGATAACAGCGGAGTATGAAAAGTTCTATTTGATAAATGTCTATGTCCCAAATTCGGGTCGCAAGCTGGTTAACTTGGAGGCTCGCATGCGCTGGGAGAAACTTTTCCATTCCTATGTGCAGAAGCTCGACGCTTTGAAGGCGGTCGTCATCTGTGGGGACATGAATGTGTCCCATAACGAAATCGATTTGGAAAATCCCAAGACGAACACCAAAAATGCTGGCTTCACCAAAGAGGAGCGCGGTAAGATGACTGAGCTGCTTGGGCTAGGATTCGTGGATACATTCAGGCACTTGTATCCCGACAAAAAGGGAGCCTACACATACTGGACTTACATGTCCAACGCACGCGCTCGCAATGTAGGGTGGCGTCTCGACTACTGCATTGTCTCCGAACGATTTGTCCCGCGGGTAGTAGACCATGTGATCCGAAAGCAGCTCCTTGGAAGCGATCATTGCCCAATTACTGTATTCCTAAATATTTAGACGTAAAGCTAAACTAATTTTTTTTGTATAGTGGCAAACTTTTTTCCACTTAATTTTTTGTTTGTTTTTATTTGTAGTAATAGGCATTACGACCTCTTTTCCTCATATAATTATACCGTCTGTCCTATTTTGTTACATGCGGCATACACGTATGTATACATTCTGTTGTAGATCGACCAGTTTCGGTATTTAAATAAAATTACACAAAAACTTCCTTTTACAAAAAAAGTGCATTTAAAAGTAAATTAAAAAAAAAAAGTAGCCCAATAATCTTCCTATCGATGCGAAAATTTGCAAACAGCAGAGAACGCTGGCGTTGACTGAATTTGTACAAAAAACGGTTGGGCTAAAACAATGAACCATTGAATTTTTTAGCCAAAACGTTTTGTTTTTAGATGCTCCTGTTTTTACAAATTTTTGGTATCGATATGTTTTTTCATTTTCTCATCGCCTCTGGCAAACAAAAAAAAATTTATAAAATTTCATTTATTTTTTGAACCAAAAAGACAGCAGAAAGTGCGCAAGGTAAGACGGTCCAGACATCTTAGATGCAACCCCTGGGTATTTACTATATGGTTTACAAACTGTGAGTAACATCAGTTGAATGTAACTAAAAGCGCTAGCATATGCTGAAAGGCAATGATAACTAAACTTTTTGCACCACTAGACTCCTATGCTTATCCTATGTAAAAAAAAAAAAAAAAAAAACAGACTTTTGCCCAAAACTCAATAACTCAACCCAGTGTAAAAGATGGTTATTTATAATGTTTTAGTGTTTACAAAAATTACAAAGTTTCTTTTTTACTTCGATATATATTATAAAACAATTTGCTTAACCATCCATGGAACCGTGAACTGTGATTCAATGCATGACTGGGACTATCGGAAAATATTTTTATGGTGAACATCTCTATCCCGCCAAAAAAATCGAGTTTTTTTTAACTTTTCTTAGTTTTTGTTAAATAATGGCGAGTGCAGCTGCAATCCCCAACTTGTCATCAGATAATGCGTCGCCTGTGAAGAAATCCCCAATCAAGCGTGAATTTAAGGAATGCAATGTTGAAGTGCCGGTGCGTACAATTGAAACAGACTCTTTGTCCTCCCACATTACGTTGCTCTACATTTTAGTTATTGATGCAAGAGACCAATAAAGACGAGCAGCAGTACTTAGACTTGATTCAGTATATCATAGGGAACGGTGAACGTCGAATCGATCGCACCAATGTCGGCACCCTGTCGGTATTCGGCAGTCAGCTACGTTTCGATATGCGGCTTTCGTTTCCCTTGCTGACCACCAAGAGGGTGTTTTTCCGCGCGGTCGTGGAGGAGCTGATTTGGTTTGTGGGCGGAAAGACAGATGCGAAGCTCTTGCAGGCGAAGAACGTGCACATTTGGGATGGAAACAGCACCAGAGAGTATCTGGACAAACTGGGCCATACCGATCGCGCCGTGGGAGATCTGGGTCCAGTCTATGGCTTTCAGTGGCGCCACTTTGGTGCCGAATATGGGACTTGCGACGATGACTACAGCGGCAAGGGCATCGACCAATTGCGCCAAGTAATTGACACCATCAGGCATAATCCGTCCGATCGTCGGATCATCATGTCTGCATGGAATCCGCTGGACATACCCAAAATGGCACTTCCGCCCTGCCATTGTCTGGCACAGTTCTACGTCTCGCAGACCCGCGGAGAGCTGTCGTGCCAGCTGTATCAGCGCAGCGCCGACATGGGCCTTGGCGTGCCATTCAACATCGCCTCCTACGCCCTGCTGACCTACATGATAGCCCATGTAACTGGCTTGAAGACGGGCGACTTTATCCACACCATGGGCGACGCTCATGTGTATCTTAACCATGTTGATCCACTGAAGGAGCAGCTGAAACGCAAGCCGCGGCCGTTTCCAAAGCTGAACATCAAGCGACAGGTTGAGAACATTGAAGATTTTCGGTACGAAGACTTCGAGATCATCGGTTACGAGCCATACCCTAAGATAAAGATGGACATGGCCGTCTAAAAATGCTACTGCTACTAACTGTATTACCTGAAATATTGGCTCATATTGGCAATCCATAATAAATAAATTCAGTGATTTACGCTGTCACAGCTCAATGAGTTCGCATTTGTAGTGGGAGATAGAGATTGAGTTTGAGGTAACTGAAACTTCTTAGCTGCTTCTGTTTTTCAGTCACTAGTCGACTGGAGGAATACCCCTCCAAATGTCAATTTTAGTACGTACTAGAGGTCCATTCATGCATGCGTACTCTGTGCAAAACTTCAACCACAAAAATAGCTTTTTCTTCTCAAAAGTTGACAACACAGATTCCTGCCCAAATGTAGTGGCAAAAAATAGAATGTATTCGAACGTCATTGCACGCATTTACGGGAACTCTATCGGCGGAGCATTCGAAATCATTTAGTACTTAAATTTGCAGCAGATTTACACGTGGTAGCCGTCGCTATGCATAGCATACTGGATAGAATGGATAGACTTCAGAGTTTCTCTGTGCCTAGAATGTAAAAATATTGCGGGAAATTGTAGGGCATAGTCTTTAAACACATCATTTCATAGCTTTATTGGAATAAATTGTTGGTTTCATTCATCGTGTGTCGCGTGTGTTTGTTGTTGTTTTGTAAATTCTCAGTGTAATCCATAATGAAGTTAATTGATTCTTAATAAATCTTGCACAGAGTATACCATAAATATGCTATATAAATTTGCTTGATTTCATCGCACACAATATTGTGATTTTTGGTTTTGGTTTCTTGGTTTCTTGGTATCGTCTTTAAGTTTAATTTATAATGAAAATTCGAAGAAAATCGCTTAAGGTCTTCTGTCCATATGAAAGAACTCGACTCGACAATAATTCAATATATAATTTATGCACGTTAATTAAATTGGAGTAATTGTTTCGGTTTCGTTTCATTTCGTTTCGTTTCGGTTTTGTCTGTGATGATTAAAGATAAATACATATTTGCTACTACAATACGATACGGTCCACCAATATTTTGACTATGTTTATAACGACGAGAAAGAAACTTGACTTGCATAGTTTTCGTATATAATATGTGGCATAATACATACGAGTACATACATACATATATTGTATAAGCTAACCCATAGACAAATAGAAATTAGATGGAATTATTATAATCTCTTATGTGAAATTCAATATGTTATTTAAACTTATGTTGAGCTTGAAAGAGCGAATGCCACTAAGGTTCTGAGTTGAGTTTAGATTCCATATTCCGTATTCCATATATCTTTCTTTTCCAATTCTTCAATTTTGGCTAATCGCAGCTTAGTGCCGCTTAATGCCTTGCCTTTGCCTTCGACTTGCGTTTAACAATAGTGCTTAAAATTAGTACCTTTGACTAAGTTCTTTTCGACTAAGATTTGGTTTTTAATTAATTTATAATATACTTTTAGTTTTATTTGTATTTCTTCAACATTTAAACATATAGAGAGAGCTTCTTTCCATCGTTACCTTGCCGATGACGACGCGCGTCCAGAAAATGGTTTGGTTTGTGTGTGTGTGTTTTTTTTTCTAATCTTTTCGATAGCCGGGTCTTGAGGGAGGATGTTGGAGCAGAAACAAAGATCTGATCTGGACTTTTAAGAGAATCGTGAAGCGCCAAAAAAAATTAAAAACTGCTCAAATTGCATGCTATTTTAGCAGGAGCTTTCACTACAAGTTCTGTTGCTCTTCCTATTCCATTTTGTTTTAACCATAGTCTTATAATTTATCTAGCATCCATTCAACAGATCTTGCAGGAAGCGCCCCTGGAAAAGGTTAGAGATGCCCACAAGCCGTCAACTACCATCGATTCTTAGCACATTTCTCGAATAGGTCATATCTGTAAGTAAGTTCCTTTTGGGAGGGGGGCTTTGCTATCCAACATTTATTTAAGTGAGATTACAATAGTAGAGAAAAGAGTGCCTGTGTGTGTTTCCGTGTGTTTGCGTGTGTTGTGTGTGAGAGAAACAGACATTTAAAGAGAGAGAGGGCGCTGCAGGCTTCCACGTTCGCTTCCGCTTCCGATTAGAAACCTGCAGGCAATTGCACAACCTTATTGGCTCCAAAACGCGAATGTGCCTCTAGAAACGACAAACAGATCAATCAATCAATCAATCAATCATGCATTTTCTTTACATACTCGTACTTCTTTGGTTTTTTGTTTGGTTTGGTTTGGTTTTGGTTTTGATGTAAAAGTATAAAAGTGTACCGTTTATAAGCCTTTCTCACTTGTTTGTTAGTTAAAATTTGTGGTAACTTTTCATATTTTTGTTTTTTGTTTTTGTTTTGGTTTTCGATTTCGATTTCGTTCTCTTCGGCGAGACTGCTTCTCGTTCTTCGTTTCTCAAGATATGCGCTTTGTTTTCTATTTTTCTTCGTCTTCTCTAAATGTTAACATTATTGCGTTTTTATGTAAAAATTATAAATTTGCTCGTTCCTTTTGTGGTTTTGTTCTTTGTATTCTTTCTTTTTTTTTGTAGTATTTTCTCGATTCCTTAGTCTTTTCTGCATTTAGTTAAACGTTCTGTTATCAGTGATCCTCAGCGGACTTTGTTCTTTACGTATGTTTCTCATGACGTTACGTTCCCACGTATTTCCCTTTCCTTTCCTTCCCTTCATCGACGTTTTGCTTTGTTTTGTATATTATTGTGCGGTGTTTTTGTTCGTTACCATACCCATTAAGTATATAATATGTATATATAATATAATATATTGTATATATAGTACTCATGTATATATTTAAATTTTTAAAATACTTTCTTGGTTTTCTTCGGGCTTCCTCGCCTCCTCTTCGGTCTTCTCTGTCTTCTGTTTCTCCCTTACTATAAAACATTTCCTCTTAAAAAATGTATATAATCGATTGCTTTTGTTGTTGTTCGGGTTTTACTTTTACAATACTTTTATTCTTAATTGCATTATGCACACAGAGATCTCATGTTACACAGATCCTGTCCGCCAATATGGAATGGAATCCCTGCACGCCGCAGTCCGCAGTGCCGCATGGAATCCCATACAAATGCACAAAAAACGGTGCCTCGATTTCTACATTTTGTATAAAAACTTTTCATTTGGTGTTTTCTCTTGTAGTGATTGATTTCTTGGGCTGAGTCCTTGAACTAGCCTAGAAATTTTTGCTGGAAGGTATTCATTCTTTCTTTCTTATTACCGCTTAAAAAGCAAGAATTCTATTTAATTTTTCAGTCAAGCATTTGCGCATGAGTATGTGTTTGAATGTGTCTGTGTGTGTTTGTGTGTGTGTGAGTGTGAGTATGGGTGTGTATCTGTGTATAGGAGAATATTCTTATAGCTTAGTTTTACTTGTTTTCTGATGCGGGAAGGAGAGTAAAGTGGAGGAATAGTGGATACTATAGCTACTGAGAGCTCTACATACAAATCTGGTGGCTTGGCATTTTGCTGCTTTGCTGCTACGCACTACACACGCACATACCTAATATCTTCGTAACCATAATCGTAACTATAAGTATATGCATGTACTATATATATATATATATATATATAGTATATATGTATATCATTTCTGGTAATAAGTTTAAATAGTATGCAATTAATTTACTGACGTTGACGTATACATGAAAATGGTTTCTTGTTGGTTTCCTCCTTGCTTTGCTTTGCTTTGCCTCTATGCATGCCATGACTTAGTAATTCGTAATAATTTCCTTGGTATGTATGTAGATGTATAAACATTTAAAATTTTCAATACACAACATCAATATATTGTTAATCATATATAATAATTGTTTGTTTCATAAATAGTTATAGATTTTTCGTATAGTGCTATAGCATAGTTTAATGTCTCTTAACATTGCAAATTTTACGTTTCGGGTGACCTTATTTACGAGGCAAGGGAACCGAGGGATACAAATCATAATCATAATCATAAGATTCAAATTATAAATACCAATAAATAGTAAATGATCTCCTACCTTTCCCAAGCCATTTAGTTCTTTTTTTCTCAATAGAAGTGTCCTTTTTTGTTTTTTTTTGTTATTTCTACAACTAAATTCATATTTTTTTTAAAGGTTTTCTGCTTTTTGAATTCGTTAGGGACACATTTTCATTTGTAGTTTTGCAAGGAAATCTGTCAAGCACCATGATTTAATTTTATCGATCTTCCTTCCATACACTTCCCCGATCGCTATCTCGACTCTCGGAAACATTATCTCTCTGTCAGATCGAGCCCCGATCTGGTATCCATCCCAGCCTTTCATTTTCGTATTTAAAAATGTATTATATTTAGTTTGGCAATTTGTTTAACTTGTTCATTAATTTCTTGTATCTTTCTCTTTGTCTGTTTTGTATGCGCTTTTGATATTGCTGTTGAGTTGGGTTAAAACAAATTCGTTATGCTGAAACGCGTTTTTTCAATCTAAGTTACGTTACGTACTCTCGCTCTGGTTTTCATTTACTCATTTCCATTTAATTTCATTTCACTTCTTCTATGCTTGCTTGTCTAGGGAGGGACTGTTCTGATCTTTGTCTAAAGTTACATTTTTAGCTTCGTTTTGGAATGGCGTGCTTCGATTTTGTAGCTGGCTTTGTTTTAGCTTTACAATCGTTGATTAGGTTAGTACTATTATGGTCTCACTTTGCTTGTATCGTGTTATACTATCTGTTTGTTATCTGTTATCCGTTTTGCGTTTGCCCGTTTTGCTGTTTTCGATTTTTCTTAAACATTTATTCGTTGTATTCGAAAAATTCTCATTAGCTCTTGCCATTTTATGTGTGTTTAGATGCATTCTGTGCTGACATGACACCAGAGAGTCAGGGCAGGGATGGGGCAGTATGACTTTATGACGAGGAGAAGATTAGTTTTTGGGGTTCGAACATATGTTGTTATGGAATGGGGGATGGTGGATGGTGGATGGCGAATGGGGAATGGGGTATGGGGATAGAATAAAGGGTTCGACTATATGTGGGTATATTATGCATACATCGTTTATTTTAGAAAAAGTTATACATTTAATATAAAACATAAACATATGCATGTCTTGTTTGGTTGCTTCTCGTATTCTTCTTGTATCTTGTATCTAGCTTTCCCTCTCATTCTCTGCTCTGCTTTGTCTATTAGCAAAACGGCCTGGTCTGACTATATGCCAAACCAAACGCCTCTACACTTGTATCTGTTTACGCATTCAGTTCTGTTTTCGTATCTCATTTATACAGTTATTTATAGCTTAAATATTTGTCATGTTTGTTTCTCATTCTTTGGTGGATTGTGGGCTTCATTGCCATCAAAATGCTCCTCTCATAATTATCTGCTCTGTTTAAAAATATGTGTAGAGTAGAGTAGAGTAGAGTGGAGTACATCCCAAACAAAAACTTAACTACAGCTTTACTTATCTCCGTTTCTCAGTTTATTCCCTTCTGGAAGCCATTCTGTCCGCTAGTGGCGACTAGATAGATGTTTCTTTAAAAGTGCATTAACGAATAAAATATAAGGGTACAGTTGCACTTATTTTGTAGTACTTATTCAATCACGGGCCCGATTGATATGCGCCTCGATTTAAGTTAAACAATTGATGTGTGGAGGATGTGATACAAAACGAAAAACGAATTCATAATTCATCGAAACGTAATCAACTTAAACTAGGATTTGCTTAGCCTGATGCTTTGGATTTAAGCTATCAAAATGAAAAAATAATCGCCTCGGCTTGAGTCACCAAATGTTGCCTCTTGGCCAGCTTACAAAGTAATTTGAAGTAAATGAAGCTAAATGGGCCTAACAAATTGAGAAACCAATTAATTCATAAGAGGTTGAATCGAGTAAATAAAGGAAAAATAATGAGTAGTTACGGGGATCTTTAAAAGAACCAATTCGACCAGGAGGGCATGTTTTTGTTCCCAGAGCCAGCTCCTGACGACGATCCATTGGCTGCCATTCCCAGTCCCAGTCCCATGCCCATGCCCATTCCCAGGGCTCCTCCTCCTCCTAATCCGTTCCGCTGGCTTCCATGGCTACCCACAGAGCCTCCTGTTCCTGCTGATGTGTTGGCTGCACTGCTGGATCCTGATCCTACTGCACTGCTGGCCACGTTTGTCAGGAACTGGGCGAATTCCTGCTGCAGTTGCAGCTGTTGCTGGAGCAACTCAAATTGATTTTGTGGCTTGTTGTAAATGAATTTTGTGGATGTTTTCAAAATGTTGCTCGACGACGAAGCCGAGGAGGAGGAGGCTGCAGCGCCATTGCCAGTGCTGCTTCCAGCATCGCCATTGGACACTGCGACTGCTGCGACTGATGAAGTGTTGTTTGATGATCTCTTAGGTGGCGGCATTGATTGTTGCTTGTTGCTTTGTGTTGTTGATTGGAGCCTCTGCTGTTGCTGCTGCTGTTTGCTCGTGTTGCTGCTGCTACTGCTGTGGCTGTTGTTGTTGGTGTTGTGCTGTCTGTTGTTGCTACTGCTGTTGTTGTGGTTAGCATATTTGCCATGTGGATTGTTCGAAGTACTGATGCTACTACTGATGTTGTTCTGATTGTTCTGACGATGGTTGTGGAGCACCAGACCATTGGCCGCCAAGGCCGCCGCCGCCGCATTGGCATTGACAACAGCAGCCAACTTGGATAGTAATTACGTTTGCTTGTTCTTGTTGGTCTTGAAGCTGACCTGGAGCACCCGGTTGCCCAGCGTGTAGCCATTGAGCGACTGTATGGCCAGCACCGCCTCCTCGTAATTGGTCATCGTGACGAACCCGAAGCCCTTGCACTTGTTGCTCTGCAGATCGCGAATCACCTGGGGGGTACAACAATCAGTTGATGCAAAACCACGAAATTGATTTGTCCCGCGCCTCACCTTGACCGACTGCACGGCCCCGAAGGGCCCAAACAGCTGCCACAGCACATTCTCCTCGGTCTCGGGGGCCAGATTGTAGACGAAAATGCACCAGCCGGAGCTGGCAATGGTGTTGCCCTGAATCATCCCATTGGTGATCAGATCGCTGGTCAGCGGTGAGTATCGAGAGATAACCGAGCTGCAGAAGAGGGTCAAACAAATGGAGAGACATTCTAGATGCTGTTTACCTCACACATAGATCGTATTTTACATCTACGAATATATAGGATATATGTAAGTATATCTAGGTGTAGGCATGCAAATAAACTTATTCTAACGACACCAGTTGCTCCCTTCTCTATCCGTTTTTTCCTGACCTGTAACGGCCCGCGTTGGGATGTATGGCAGCGGCTGCTGCTGCGGCTGCAGCTCCGGCAGCGGCATTCGTGGGGAATGCCCGACCGCCTCGGGTGTTCTGTGGAGCTATGTAGGCGGCCAGTGGCTGCATACTGTTCTTGTTGCTGCTGGGATTGTTAGCAAACTTGACGGTTATCGGTTCGGTGGAGTTCTTCGGAGTGGTGCCGTTCAGCTCCTTAATGGCCCGATCGGCCTCAAAGCGCTGATCGAAGCGTATAAAGCCAACGCCCTTGGAGAGACCTGCAAATGATCGTGAATGTTTAGTGTGCATTGCAGGTACAGAAGCGTCAGAGGTACAGATGAAGATACGGATAGATACAGATACATATAAATTCGAGCGAAAGCAAGCGGCAACCTGTAATGCAATGGATTGTCATGCATCTGTCGAATGACGAAAGCAAAAAAAAGTGATGCGAAAACTGAATAAAAGGTGAAAGCAGTGCAGCTGATAGATAGATTGTATTGTATGGTACAGTATAATGCGTAAAATGCATAATAAATATTGTATTATTGTGTTTTGTATGTGCGGATGCACTGCAATTGGTAAAACATCAATTGGAAATTAAAGGGAAATGATATATGATAAATTAAAATGATTAAAAGAAAAAACATACCCGGCGCATGTTCATCTTATTTGGTTCGATTATTACATGTAAAAATAAAATTGTAAATAAAATTTTCATTAATTATAATTCTTAATATATCAATAATAAGGAAACAGAAGGGAGAGATTATAATTGTATTTGTGGAGAGAGCGCCAGCAAGATTCGAAATCAAATTTGTGCGCGCTATGGCTAGGAGGCTACAAATGAATCGAAGAATACGAGTAGTAGTAGTACGAGTAGATAGTATATTCAAATATTTAAATACTGGATACTGGGACATGCTTTTAATGGTAAAAGAGAATAGTAATGGGGTGGTATATAATGGAAGATTCCTCTAGGATATGGGTTTTGGGTTCTGGGTTCTAGTTTCTGGGTCTAATATTCCTTTAGTATTTAGTATTTAACTTCGTCTCTCTCTCTATCTCTGTCTCTCTGTCTCTCTCTAGCTAGGAAACCAGGACTCACCGGTGATATTATCACAAAGTATGCGCGAAGTGATGATCTTGCCGTAAGGACTGAACAATGATTCGAGGTCCGACTGTGTCATGTTCTTTGGAAGACCCGATACATAGAGATTGGCGCCTTTAATGCTCTCCGAGCTGGGCCGGGCAATGGAAACCTTGATGGTTTTATTCTGCAGCCGCAGACCATTTAGTGCATTGATGGCCTTTTCGGCATCCTCCTGCTTCACGTAGTTCACGAAGCCATAGCCCAGGCTCTGGCCTACATCGGGAGATGGGAGATGGGAGGGTGGGATTAATCGACGGATGACAGTTCAGTATCCTACTCGGCGCACCGTGCTCACCTGTCACCTTGTCGCGTATCAACTTGCAGCTCTCCACCTCTCCGAAGCTAACGAACAGCGAACGTATCTCATCCTGGGACATTGTCTGTGGCAAGTAGTTTACAATCAGATTAGTTTTTGGATCTGGTTCGTTGTTGTTGTTGTTGTTATTATTGTTGTTAGCAGTGTTGTTGTTGTTGTTGTTATTCGCTGTTGAATTGTTGGCATTGGATGCCTGGCCACTGGCATTCGATCCGGTTGTCGTCGATCCAGAACCCGAACCAGATCCGGCTGCTGCAGGCGATGTCGAGGCTGTACCTCCGTTTATCTGCGCCTGGCTGTTGGTCGTCACATTTCCCGTAGATCCTGTAGATCCTACGCCGGTGCCTGTTCCTGTGGCGGAGATGGTGGTGCTGCTGCTGGCAGTGTTGCTGGCAGCTCCAGCAGGTGGCTGTTGTTGGGGCTGCTGTTGCACGGCTGTCTGACCCTCGACCATGTTGTGTCTGCTGCTGAAAAGTACAACAAACGCCCATTAAGATTCATATCTTTCATATCATAAAGAGGTATACAATAGTCGAATAAATAAACATGAACTTTACTGCTTTCTTTTTTGCGAAAAACTTGTTCACGAGACAGTAATAAAGGGAGGAGGAGGCGTTTATAGAGTTGATCTTGAGATAATACTGCAGGGGGATCTGCAAGAGAACATAACAAATACATTATGAACAATTTTAGATCACAATATCTTAGATCACTTACCCCTTTCCTGAGGCGCACGCAGGGTGGATCAACCGAAATGGAACACAAAAGTATTTCTGCCTGTGGACCGATCTCAGGCGTATTCTATAGCCTAGTTAGGAGCGCGTATAACACGTATACGTATGGGTACGTTTGGGTTGCTTGTGTGCCCGAAAGTTTACTGAAAAGGAAGTGCCAAAAAACCAAACAAAGTTGCTATAAAAATCAATTATTTTAATTCAATTTAAATGAAATGCGGGCAGGGGCCGCTCTCGCCGCTTTTTCTGGGGAAGCGCCAAAGTGAATGGTTTTTTTTGTTTAATGAAACCTTAGAAATGCCCGAGACCAGAGCTCTTTGTTGCTGTGGCTGCCACACATTTGCTGCCTGACTGCATGGCAGAATGGGTGAAGGTAAGATCCGGCGGTAGAAATGGCTGAAAAATCGATGCAATTAAAATGCGGTCTCCCTTTATTGGAGCCAATTAGATGCCTATTCTAAATAATGGATATGGACTGGAGGCGAATATCCCTCCACCAACTGATGGGCTTTTCTTTTGGGCACGTGGGCATATTCTTTTATTTATCTATTGAAAGAGAGTCTAACATAAAGGAGTTCACAGACTCTTTCCATAGCGTAGATATGATATGATACATATGTACATATGTATGTATGTCCCTCTATTTTATTGATATCAGGATTTGATCACGTTCCTTAAATGATTCCACTCCATTGAATTCATTCCATTTTCCACAACTAAAAGAAAAATACTGTGCGTTCTCCAGCTACGACGACAACGCATGCGCCTCACAATTCTGTCTTTCTCTCTTTCTGTCTCTGTCTCTGTCTCTATAAACGTCTCTCTCTACGGGCCGGACCGAGAGAGATCTCTTCAGTTTTTTATTAAGAGAGGCGCGGTGGGTTTGTGGTGTTTGCTTTTCGTTGAAAGACATTGAAATACTCAAAAAATAAACAAATAAATACATTCGAAATGCAAATGGAGCTTTACTTGGGAATATTGTGGCCATATTGGAGCCCACACCCACACACCGCACAGACGGGACGGCCTGCTATATAGTACGTATACGCTAAATATGTATGTGGATTAAATCGTTAACTTGTTATCCGACGAATAAGTACGTCCGATGGATGGATGGTGGTCTCTGCTCTGCTTCTTGTAACACATTCTCGTATAGTAAATTGTATTTTTAGCATATGTTCAATTTGGTGCCTTTATGACGATTGCGGCCTGCAATAAACTTATTTACATGTCTGTGTACTCGAACGTTTTTCATTATAAGGTGGGGAGAGAAAGAGATTGGAAAAATTGCGAAATATTCATATAAAACGAATGAAAAAAAAACCCAATTTGAAAAAATATCTTTCATTGGCTATCTATCATTATGGGATCATCTTATACGATTCTAAAATATATACTCGCAATTATATTCGGAAACTGTCTGGATTGGAAGATTTTTCTTCACTTTTGTACCGACACTTTTCTTTTCTTTCTGTAAATCGAAAATCGATCTTAGCAAGGCAAGACTTTCTCTATGTTTTCTTTAAGGAAATTTATCATTCAATTTCATTGCTTTGATTGGAAATACCTTTTGAGATAGATTACCGTCGAGTGTTTTCTGTTGTAAATTTTATTGCGCGGGCAGTTTGTTACATTTCCCAGCGTAAATCGTGCGAGAAAATAATATTTTAAAAATAAACAAACAACTGCTGGGATATACGAAATAGAAGAGCTCTGCTGCTGCTGTGCTGTACTGCGGTTCTGCGTAGCCGTAGCCGGCACAAATTATAGTTGTATTTTCGAAAATATTTTTAAAGCAGCAAAAGAATCGCAGCTGACGCGATGACGTCGCACGGTGGGCCTCAGCCGAAAAGAGGTGACAAAAGTCAATGAATTGTATGAGCGCTTTTGATAAAATGAATAGAGAATTTTCTAAAATCGCGAAATGCACTTTTGAACTTAGATACAGAAATATTCAAACAATATATAAGGAAAACAAATATCAATGAAATTCAAATATACATATATTTTTGTTAAGTCAAATCAAAGTTGAAAAATAACTCAAAAATTAGATCCATATACTAATACATCCATATATTTCATCTATTAGACAAATTAATGACCGAGAAACCATACTTTTCTACAGAGTTTTATTGCGCTGAATACAAGTCCGATCACAGAATTTCGAGATTTCCTAGCCTAAAAGTGAAAAAAACGGGTTTTTGACTATGCTCGACTATGCATCTTAAAGTGCTAGTCTTACCATTCAAAACCCTTTTTGAATTTTTGAGATATCAGACCCACTGTGCATCGGAGCTGTTGCTGCTCGACGCATATTTGAGGTTAAGTGGCAGAAGAGTTTTCCCCACAATCCACTGCCTGAAGGAAATGTTCTCGCATTGAATTCATTTTCCGTATTATATAAATTCTCGTGGAAATGAGCCTGGTTCTGTTACCTTTTCTTCCCGTTGGGCTGGACGTTGGATGGATCTGCTCTCAGATCGTGGAAAACTTGTTGCTGTTTTCTCGATTTCGATTTCAGTGCGATTACGAAACAATTTTCAGGGTGGGATGGATGTTTGGTTTTACGCGAGTATATTTATTTTAATAATAACCGAGACAAAAACCGAACAGAATCCGAATTGGAAGAAAGCACAACCAAAACAAAGCGACAACCGAAAGGAAGGCAAAGAGATTTAGTTAATTGGAGGGATTATAATTAAATTGTTGAAATTTAATTTGTTGCCGTGACTGTTGGAAAAAGGAGAAACCGAACTAAACTAAACAGAACAGAACATAACCGAACCGAAACGTGCAACTAATTCGTAATAACAATAACGATAATAATAATAATAATAAGGAAATAAAATCGAACGGAAAGTAGAAAAGAACGCGTTCCTGCAACTCAACAGAACAGAAATAAATGATTTGGCGAGCGGCGCGGAAAGTATTTTTATGCCTCCGAGCGAGTCCAAGCACGGAACGGGAGAGCGGCGATACCGCGCGTGAGAGAGAAAGTGACAGAGAGAGAGACTGTTGACTGTTGTGCAGTTGGGTTGGCCAACTTGTCGAATGCTTGCTCTTTGGCGCCGCAAGGGAAGAGAAATCCGTTTGGAATGGATCACCCACCTATGAACGGATACATCCAATGAGCACACACGCTCGCCTATACATACATATGTATTTTCGAGGCGGCGGGGAAGGTAATTTATAATTAAATCCAATTGTCTTTGAAAACTCACTATATTCCTTTATGGTAATCTATTTAATATGCCCATAACATCCGAAGGCAAAAGACTTCTAAGCACTAAACAGCTGAAATTATTTCCAATTGATGTTCAAATCTGTGGCAGCAAAACAGTTGTTCCAACTGATAATGGGGCAGTTAAATATTCTATTGATTAAAACCCATATTGCCGATGTCTTCCGGATAGCTAAACATCCCACTGATACTGAAGCCCCTTAAATGAAATCATTATCACATACACATACACATACATATTGTACTTATGTACTTATGATACATATGCATTAAGCCACTAACTTTAAAAACGCTTTCAGTTGCATTGAATATTGGATGTTGTTTCTGTTCCTAGGAAAACAGAATCCAATTTATAATACAATTGAAACAAGCATTTACATTTACAGTGGTACACGGCCCCTCAATAAGGATAATTATAATTCCACTCCCACAACCGTCCGTCCAATAACGTCTTCTAGCCACTTTTTTCCCTAAAAACACGCCCACACATAATGAAACCCATAATTTTCTTTAATAAATTGTTAAAAATTCCTACCACCTAACTGATAGATGCACGGCTGGGATGGAGCCGTACATGGTTCCAGAAATATAGGAAACTTGATCTATACCTATGTACACATGTACATATGTATGTATGTTTGTACGTACTTGGCCGCCGGGGCACAGGAGCTATGCAAAATGCAAGAACAAAACAAAAAAGTGACACACCTTGCCAAAGTCTCCGTATAGATAGGTAGAGAGAAACAGAGAGAGAGAGAGAGGGAGAGACGGAGAGACAGAGGGAGTAGAAGGACTAGTAAAGAAAGTAGAAGAATGTCTAAAGCTGAATTATAGAGGCCGCTTCGCATTTGGGTGCGGCAAAAATAAACGGGAGAGAGAGCAAAAAAACGAAAACTGCAGCAGAAGCGCAGGCAGCGCAGTCAGCTGTCAGCTGAGCGCGCCACAAGATATGCAAGTCCCGAGCAGTAGGGAGAACCAGCACCAGAGAGTGCGAGAGCAAGCACACATAAGCTCAGAGAGAGTAAGCTTAGCTGCAAGCTGACGTTGACGTTGACGTTGACTTCGACGCTAACGTCACCTCCAACACAGGGGTGGGTGGGCTGGTGGTCGATGACTACGGAACAGTTACCGAATCAGGCTCAAAAAAACCGGGGCTCTGTGCATCCTGTGCTAATCGAATTTGAAAACGAAATAAAACATAATATATTATATCTAGGGAAAAAGTAAGCCGGACCGAACATTAATAATTACATCCCCTTATAAAGATAGCTCTGAGCTCTGCGAAGCTTTTTCTGCAGCAGGCTCGGTCTCCAACACCATCCCTCCTCCCGGCAGTGACCGCTCCTGGATCAACGTCGTTTTTTAGGTTAAATGGCGACTGCAGGCAGCGCACTATGGTCCGAACGACCACTTTTGTTGGCCAAAACCTAATTTTTCAAAGTCAAAACTGAAACCTGGTTTTGATCGCTTTGCATTAGAAAAAGATCGACCATTAAATCTGCGTACCAGAAATTTCCATAGATGGCGCCACATTCGCAAAATCAGCTGTGCAACCCAACTGTTTTTTTAGTAAAGCACGTGAAGGGAAAAGTGCCAAATAAATTACCACTTTAGATCTCTCAAAAATTGAAAAACGCCAAGACGTGATTAAATTTTTTTGATGAATCTTAATCTGTCGGGTTCTTACTACGTGTTTTGAGTTTTTAACTGTCTCTAGTAGTTGTGATGTCTTCGTAATTGAAGGTTAAAGTGAGGCCTTTAACATGTGCCAACTTGTAATGAAAACTAATTTTTGAAAAGGTGTACAAAGTGAGTCCTACCTAGTCCCACCCTGAAACCTTTTGTGTGTCGTAGATTAATAAATTCTTTTTAAAATGTATATAGTTAGAAATGCCACTTTTGACCACAATTCTTGGAATTTGCATTAATAGAGCATAACCTCAAATTCGAAAATGCAGATTTCTTTGCCGTATGGAATTCAGAGAAGGGTAAAATTATCAATTATTTGAAAACGGATCTTAAGGCGACATATCATATGAAATTAATAAAGCTTTTAAAGGTACCAGCAAGAAAATTTGTTATCGTTTGGCAACATACCGGAACAAATGCCGGTAAAATTCAAAGATGTTGGAACGAAAATATGTGGATTGGCCACAAGCCTTTATTTCAATACATTTATCTTTATGTCCAGAGAATGCTAACTAAGTTCGTAAGGTTTTACAGGACCCAGTCGGAAAGCCGGCACACACATCACCTAACGAGGCGTTAACCTTGCTTCTAGACAAGGATTTCGGCAATAATTTACGCAAACCTTTGAACGATTTTATTTTTATTTAAATCAAAATTTTTTTTAGTCGTGCAACGCCGTTTTCTTAAATAAAATATGCTTAATACTTTTTTTCACTACTACTAAAAATTTAAATATGCATTATTTAAAAAAGGGGCGGTGCCACACCAATTATTTTTCTTAAATCCAGTTCTTTTTGATTATATATATCCAATACAAAAAACTAAATGAAAAAATCTTGTTCCGTTCGGGAGTTATTAATTTTGGCCAACAAAAGTGGTCGTTCGGACCATAGTGCAGCGGCCGGCGCTGCACGAAACACAGCTTTGTGCATGAGTGTGCAGTTGGTTGTGTGACTGTGTGAGTATGTGTAGGCAGCAAATACATATCAGAGTATAGAGAAATTGCGACTCTGCCGACAGAGAGCCTCCCCATTGAGCCCCGTTTTACTATCGCCTGATACGAGAGCTGAGGGCTGTGGGCTGAAGGGGAGGTGGTTCTCTACTCTGCTATATGCAAAGTGAAAAATCGACTTTGGGTGTGGGCACTTTTGCATGGCAAATAGAATGTAAAATGTTTTTGCGGATCCCCCATGATTTCACCATTTTCTTACTTGGCTCGTCGGCGCCGCAAAATATTCTTCACTGATTTTCACAACTTTCCGTTATGCGTTTTCGTTTTAGAAAAACTTGAGAATTTGGTTCGTTGCGTTGCAAATGAGTTTTAAAAACTAGTTGAGCACGTACGCACACACATTTAAAGATTTTTCGAACTGATTCCGATACATATATGTATGTAGCACTATATATTCATTTGTAGATATATGTATGTATGTGGCATTACGAAAATTTGTGTGTGGCTGGTTGTGTGAGTATGCTAGATGTGTGTATTTTGATACCGATATACAACAATTTATAAACGACGACAATACGACGAGAATCAAAAAACACAACTTGCTGTCGAGAGTGCAAGAACTAAATGGTTGTTCGATTGCCGCCAGGATAAATGCAGCCAGGACTCGCGACTGCGCTGCCCGCTGCACCAGTACCAGTAGCAGCAGCAGCAGCTCCTCTGCTCCTCGTTCTGCCATTGGCGGCGTACAGTTGAGTACGCGAGAGAGCAAAGACATAACAACTGCGTAGTTTTTGCATTGGCATGCACAGTGGAACGAAAACTACATCAGCATATCTAAGGGTAAGTTAATTGCTTCAACTTAATGAAATCGAGAGAACCTAACGGATATGTATTGACAGTACCATGTACCGTATACCCTAGACAGTGCCCTCATATCATTTACACTTTTAACAATATTTATTCAAAATTGGCACATTGTACCCCCCACACAAATGAGAAGAACAAGAATTAGAAGAGGCAGTCAGCAGATGAGGAAGGCAGCGAAGAGGCCGTCAGCAACTCCAACAATAACAAGAAGCTGCAGCGCAAAATTGCGCAGGTACTGGCAGAGCCAGAAGCAGAAGCAGCAACAGCGCATCGCAAGCGCTGCACTAGCTTGAGGGATATAACGGTAGAGTTCTCTCTCTCTCGCACTCTCTCCTTAACATCAGTTAGTCATTCTCTCTACAGTTTAAGCTGCACTGCCAGGCTTCGTTATTTAGCCGAATAGCCTACATTCGTTCGCAAAACATAAACAAGGAAATGCAGCCACCAGAAGCGATGAACACGAAACAAATTGTGGTAGGTTCTTCGTATAGAAAGAGAGTGTGAGAGAGCGCGCATCAGGAGAGAACGGCTGCCCGAGCATCTCAAGCCGGCCGCTACGACACCGCTGTGGGAAAGAGCAGCCAAAAAGGCACCCAAACAAACAGTTAAATAGCAACAAATGCAAGGCAGCTGACTGCAAGAGAGGCGAGGAGGGAATTGAGAGAGCGAGCGAACGAGCAGCAAGCTCAACTTGACATCATTTGTGTCAAAAGACCATTGAACTCTACTCTGCGAGCAAAACGCCACCCTGTACCACCACCCCCCAATATTCACCACCCAACCGCTCTCACCTATTTGTATATATGCAACAATCTCTGCTCTTGCCTTCGTCGTTGCTTGTTTTGTTGCTGTTTGCTTACAGATGCATGTACATATGTACGTGTAAACCAACCTGCACGCACACGGGCAAGCTCAATGTATTACAAACCTTTTTTAGCTGCAGTTACCTTACAACTGTAAGTATTTTAACCCTTACAGGTCTAAGAATTTTATTAGCGGAACTTACGATTTCGGTAACTTCAGATTCACTATTCAATG